AAGAAGGCGACGGAACCAGAGAACTTTGGATGCTTCGGTTGCCAATGCTCTGTATTCGTCTTCGGTGGATGAGCAAGCCACGGTGGTTTGCTTCTTGACTTGCCAAGAGACTAGTGACTTGCCCAAGAAATTGCAGTAACCGGATATTGATTTCCGATCTTGATTGTTGTTGGCCCAGTCAGCTCGACGAAGCCCTGTAATATGAGATTGTCACGGTAGAGAGGAATGCCATGATTAGTAGTACCTTGAATGTATCGAAGTAATCGTTTGAGAGCTTCGAAGTTGCTATTGAGCGGATTGTGCATATGTTGGTTGAGTTGATGAACAGCAAATTGAATATTAGGTCGCGTCAGAGTGAGGTATTGAAGTGAACCAATGAGATGTCTGAATAGTTGAGGATTGGCGAAGTGTTCGGTGGGTTTGTTTGTATTTGTGTGTTTGCCAGATGTCGGAGTAGCCACGGGTTTGGCATTCTGCATTCCGGCGCGTTCCAAAATTCAATTTGCGTAAGGTTGTTGATGGAGTAAAGCGCCATATGTTGTTGTGTTAGTTTGTATACCGAGAAAGTTGGCAAGAGAGCCGAGGTTGTGCATTTGGAACCGTTGTTGAAGATTGGATAGAAGTCGATGGATATCGGAATTTGAGTTGTCGGTCAGAAGAATGTCGTCAACGTAGATCAAAATGTAAAGACGAGTTGATCTCGATTTGTAAATAAGGAAGGGTCAGCAATACTAATGGTAAACCCAAATTGCTGAAGATGATTGGATAGAGTTGCATACCATTCGCGGGGTGATTGCTTGAGGCCGTATAAGGCTCTCTTGAGCTTGCACACGAAGGTGGGATGAAGCGAGTCCTGAAATCTGGGTGGTTGTTTCATGTACACTGTGTCGGAGAGGTTCCTGTGGAGGAAGGTGTTGGATACGTCAAGTAGATGTATACTCCAATTGAAGTGTAATGCAATGACGATAAGGACACGAATGGTTGGAATTTTGGCTACAGGACTGAATGTTTCGAGGTAATCAATGTTGTGTTCTTGGTTAAAGCCCCGTGCAACGAGACAAGCCTTGTAGCGGGATATGGTGCCGTCGGAGTTTAATTTGGTTCTGTAGGTCCATTTGCAACCGAGGAGTTTTGATTTGGAAGAGGCGGAACAAGATCCCATGTCCCTTGTGTTTGTAGAGCTTGGAATTCCTAGGACATGGCGGATCGCCAATGTTCGCTTTTGACGGCTTGATTGTAGGTAGTTGGTTCAGTGTTATGAATCATGTGAGAGAGGTTGAAGACTTGCTTCGGTTTTGAGTGACCTGTCTTGGAACGGGCAAGCATAAGGTGTGTGATATGTTGAATGGTTTGAGTATTGGCAGAGGGAATGAGAGTGGATGGTGGTGAAATGGTAGAAGTTGAAGGTGAGTGACGGCTGACAGAGGTGTGTTGGGGTGAAGGGAAGGAGACTGGTTTTTGGAACTGAGAGTGAGTGGGATGGTTATTGAGAGAACTGTGGATGGACGAGGGTAAGGAAGTGGTAGGAACAAGCAGTAAGGGTGGAAGTTTTGGATCAGGATTGGAAAATGAGTTGCAAGGATGTGATAGTTGAGGAAATGGGAAGATGTTTTTATTAAAGACAACATGGCGAGAGACATATATTTTGTTTGTGTTGGGGTCAAGGCAACGATATCCTTTTTGAGCTGACGCGTATCCGATAAATACACATGGGTGAGAAAGAGTGAACATGTGTGCGGTGTAAGGTTTGAGCCACGGGTAGTATAGACATCCAAAAACTTTTAGGTGGCTGTACGTTGAAGGTTTCCCGTATAGAATTTCATAGGGAGATTTGTTGTAGGTGTTAGGAGATGGAAGGCGGTTGATGAGGTTGATTGCGGTCAATAGAGTGTTAGCCCATAGGTAAGGTGGAAGGGAAGCTTCGATTAGAAGAGTGTGAATGGTTTCGGTAATGTGCCGATGCTTACGTTCAGCCACTCCATTTTGAGGTGGAGTGTAGGGGCAGGTGAATTGGTGGAGAATGTCGTGATTAACTAGGTGCGTTTTAAATTTATTATTACTGAATTCGCCACCGTTGTTAGTGCAAATGATATGAATATGAGTGTTAAATTGTCATTCGATCATTTTGTGAAATTCAAAGAATTTACTAAACACTTCAGATTTTTGAGGGGATAGTCCCATGTATACCTTGAAAAATCGTCTATAAAGCTTACGTAGTATCAGTATCAATAAGTTGAATTGGTTGGGGAGGGTCCCCAGACATAGGAGTGAATCAAATAAAACGGAGTAGAACTAGTGCTTTGAGAATTTTTGAAAGGTAATTGATGGCTTTTAGCCATTTTACATGCGGTACATGAAGAAGGAGATGAAATACAGATATTGGTATTTTTGTTTGCAAGAAAATGTAGTGTGGATGCTGAGGGATACCCCAGCCTTCGGTGCCACAGGTCTTGGACCGGCTGAGTGGAGATTAACGTGAATTTGGAGGTGGCTGTGTTCTTGGTAGGCACGGCTTGAATTGGGTAGAGCCCGTTAAGACACGGACCCGTGAGAAGAGGTCGGAGGGTCTTCTGATCCTTGATTTCATATCCATAAGAAGAGAAAGTTATGAGACAATCATTGTCAGTAGTGAGTTTATGAACAGATAGAAGATTGAATGATAGGTTGCGGATAAGATTTAACTGAGATAGTTGCAGATTACCTTGAGGCGTGGGTAACATACCTTTATCAGTGGAATGGGAGATTATGACCATTGCCAAGAATGACTTGGTTTGAGCCGGTGAATGGTTGTGAGTTTTGAAGGTGCGTCGGGTCTGAAGTTAGGTGTGAAGACGCTCCGCTGTCGAGGTACCATTCGGTAGGCGAGGAAGATGATGGTGAGGTGAAGAGGGCAATAGTAGGTTGTTCAGTGTTGTATTGGTCGTCATGGCGGCGCCAACATTTGACTGCAGAGTGGTCGTTCTTACCGTAGATTTGGCAAGTAACGGTTGATCTTGAAGTCTTTCCCCCTCTGTAGTTGGTGGAGTTGGATCTGCTATTGAAGGAAGTGCGACCGCGAGCTGAGCTAGATCGTCCACGACCACGGGTTGCCGCAAGGGCCGTGGCGTTGCCAGAGAGTTGGAGGGAATGCAATTCGCGGGTTGTTTCATGAGCGAGGTTGAGTTCTTCGCTACAAAGTAACATGTAGAGATCATCCAGACTCAAGGGATGGAGATTAGTGCGGATTGCAGTTTAGAAGGCTTGGTAGGTGGACGGAAGACCGTCCAAGGTATGGTGGATGATATCTTCGACGTCGATTGGGGCTCCGTCTACGGCGAGTGAATCAACTTTGGTTTTGATTTCAATAAGGTATTGGGACATAGTTTTATCTTTCATAGAGAGATATTGCAGCTCGTGGCGAAGGTGTATAATTCTGGAGCGTGTGCTGGATTGAAGCCTTCGATCAAGAATGGTCTAGATGTCGATACAGTTTTCGACGGAGAGGACATAAGGCAGTATACATGGCGATATTACAGAGTATAATGCTGCTGCAAGATTTTGGTCTAGCAAAAGCCATGTGTTGTAGGTGGAGTTGGGACTTATCTTGCCATCCATCGCAATGGTGGTTCTTGGGGAAGAGGGTGAGGTACCGTCCAAGAAACCTTGGTAGCCATTTGCCCGGAACAATTTTAGAACTTGGGAACGCCATATAGTGTGGTTGTCGGCGGTGAGGGGTTGGGCAATGATGTTCTTGACGTTGCTCATCAAGAATTTGAGTGATGGCGGAATCGTAGGGGGAGACGACGAGAGCGATTCATCGGTGGTGGAGTGATCGGGGGATGATCGATTTGAGATGTTTTCCATGGGTAGCAGCTCATAGAGAAGAGGGGTGGAGCGAGAAGAAGAAGAAGAACGGGGAAAGGAGAGAGGAGCGTTACCGCTCTGATACCATGTTGATTAACATGCGGAAAAGAACGGAAGCAGTAAAGAAAGATGGAAAAACTATTTTCATTACATAAGCTGTGTACAGGGATAGGAATATATAGAGAACTAAATTCAGAAGATGAGGGTAACGGCTGTGTGACGTGGACAAGAGCTGGACAAGAAAGTACATGGTCCTTTCTTGCTTATAAGTCCAACGGAAGGTAGAGGAAGCCATCAATGAATACTACAAACTACAAAGAGGGCTATGATGAGTTTATTAAACATAGATCGAAAGGCCATGCTAGGACGAGGATGTGAACAAGTAATCATCAGATGATATTTTTTATAGTGGGGTAGCATGAGAAAAATTCATGCAAGTAAGAAGATTTCTTGCGATAGGAAGGTTTGCAACAGGAAAAAGGCGCAGCAAGACCGAGGGATGTAGGGCAACACGTGGAAATGAGTAGAGCTCATGCCTGGCATAGCAGGCGAGAGTAGCATGTAAGCGCATCATGCAAGGCAGCAGGTAGATGCAAAACGTGGTGAATAGGCGGATGTAACATGTGGGAACAAAAATAAGGCACAAGTGTCATAGATGCGGCTCCAGGACAACAAGCAATCGTAATTGTTAGGTGAAGCACTGAGGGCACAAGATAAAAATGGAGAGATTGGGAAGGGCAACTGGATGGAGGAGATCAATACTTAAGCCCAATAAAGCTCTTGATACCACATTAAGTTGATTAAAAACTATTTATTTTATTTCATTATAATATCAGTGCCTATATATAGAAAAATTCTTGAGATAAATTTAAAAAAAAAAAAAAGATAATATCCTCAATTAAAAGTAAACATTGAATTATAAAGATAGAAGATGTAATAATAAATAACTTTCAATCTAATAAACTCTCTAAATTAACAAAAATGTATGTAGATAACTAAGTTCTGTACTTAGGCATTCACTTAAAAGCTACAAATGAAAAGGATTCAAAAATATGCAGAAAAAACATGCAAAAAATATGGTAAAAAAGCATGGCATGTAGCTAATAATACATGCAATGGTACACATGCAAATTAGCGTAGCAAGTCGAACTGCTAACCTGTATTGAAATAACACCCCAATCTTGCAAAATCTTGCCCAGTTTGCGCCTTTGCCATGCATTGTTAGTACAGAGGATTTTAATCAAGTTTATCGTCAGCTATGGGTCAAAAATACATCCAGTGAGAAAATAAAAAAGATGTTTAACCTGAAAATACATTTTTATAACACAAAAAATGTATGTGGCTAAAGAGAGCTGACCTGACCTAGCTGCACTACAAATTCATTTTCCTGAAATGCCTGATCACTTGTACCTTCGGGCAATACTAACGCCCTTGAAATGACCACATGGAAAGGATATTTCCCATATAACTTCCCATCTTGAACTAACAAAAGCTGTTCACCGGTTAGAAAACCCAGCAAAATGAGCACATCAAAAAGAAGGTTGGGCAATAATTAATATCACTGCCATTTCACCCATTAGAATAATAGAAATGCTGCCTCTTTTGGCTGAAGTTATTACTGTACTTATGCAATCAAAAGTAAATGAAATGTATGACTTCTCCTAAAATTTCATATGTAAAGAACATATCTCTAGTTCGATAAAAAAAATAAAAAATAAAAAAAGCATGTCTCTAGTTCGATTTTTACATTTGTATATATCTGAATAATCAGCACAACTGACTGAAAATAATCACCCTTAAGTTGGCAAGGCCAGGATTACGGGAAAGATTTCAAGCAAAGCAAACAATATGAAGGGCACGTACTGTTGAGGTTTTTCTTTTTTATTATTAAGCTCTGAAAGGAAGCCTGCAGTTTTCATTTTTAATGCCCTTTATCAATGTTCATATGATTAATAAAACCAAGATTGCTACGTACAAAGTATGAAATGTCAAAATTAAAATTGTTTTCAAAAATGATCATGTGGGCTAAACTTACCATAATTATTTTAAGTAGAATTGGCAATAGCACCATTATCTATTGTGATGCAAGCACCGTGGTATATAACTAGTCCAATATCCCTAAATTGCATGTAACTTAAACAAAAGTAAAAGATAACTGATAATATGAAATAGAAGAATAAGGTACAAATGTACAAATAGCGTGAAATAGAAAAATTTTACTGTAAATCATACTTCTTAAGAAGAACGATGAGATCAAATCTTCAAAATAACCTGAAAATAACCAATCATTGAAAATAACCTGAATATGACCAAGGCTTTACAATGATGTTCAATAGCTAGAACCAAAATTCCCAATAAGACAGACAAAATACCTACGGACAGAACCAGAGAACAAAACATAACCCGGAAACAACCTATTACAGTAGGTGCTTTCAATAATTTAATCATTTAATTACAATTTGGACCCTACTTGCCTAGGCCCACAAACCAAATGACCACCTTTGGAAATGATAAGGTTTTAACTTATATCATATTATAAGAATACAAAAAAAAGAACAAAAGCTAAAATGTGATTATGAATATATTAATATTTTTGTTTATTTTAAATATTTATTAATTTACTTACATTTATGTTGACCCCTACATCAAAATACGCGCAAAAAGAGGCAAAATCAGCGATTCAAGTCACGCGCGTGTCAACGTGGCGTGTCACTTGAAGGACCAAATGATCTCTGATTGTCAAACGGATTGCGTCATTGCAATCAGGACGCCGAATTCGCCTAAGAGGGAACCCCTCGAAGTCTCAGATTACGTCGTTGCATATTGCCCAAACAATGTCCAGTCGCAAAACAAACTACGTCGTTACATTTGGAACGTCGTCGACAACCAAAAATGACTGTCAATTTATTCAATTAAGATCCCAAGAGGAAATCGACCTTAATCCCGAGACAACGACATGCAAATCGAGGAAAATCGACGCCCGACGTCGCTCAAACGACTTCCGATCGCAAAACGGACATTGTCGTTGCATTCAGAACGTCATCAATACCCAAAATAGAGCATAATTTTGCCCAACAAAAATTTTGCGCCAAAATCGGCGCAAATTCAAAGGCAATTGTGCGTAGATCAAGGCGATTTTGAATTTCCCATAAATCCCACGAACGATGGATTGCCTCGAGCAAATACAAAGCTTCTTCGTTAAAATGAGATCAAAGAGGCCCGTGTTTGTTTTGGCCGTTCTTTCACGCTAAGACTCCTTCGCACCCATCGCTATGCGGTTCACAACTCCAAAGCACTATTTGAAACCTCCAGTGTCCATCGACAGCACAATCACACATCCCTACTTGCCCCTTCTGACTCAAGATTTGATCTTCACCTCCTCTTACTTTTTATAACCAACCAAACTCCGCAAGTCTAGCAATCTGACTCAAAGCCTCATACTTCTTCAATCTGAGATCCCGATCTCCCTCACACATAGAACCTGGGATCCTGATGTAGACAAAGGGGGGATTAACACGAGTCCAAAATAAATCAAATTTTGGCTTTCCTTGAGTCTAGTGGCTCAATCAAAATTGAGCTGGAATTTTAGCTCATTTATGAGCTGGATTTTAGTTCATTAAATGGAACTAAAATATAGCTCATTATTAGCTATGATTTTAGCTCATAGTTATCTTTTTATTTAATGTAATTTTATGCTTTTTATGTTTTAGTTATTGTTGTCTCTTGGAATTCCAAACCGGCATTTGGAATTCCAAGAAATGTCTTTTCCCATGAGGCGACTCCTTGGTTTCCTTCATGGCTTTTAGTATTTTGTGCATTTGCCCCTTGGATACCGGCCGGCCGCTGGTTTTACCGTGCCTGGGCTCTTTCCCGAGGCCATGGCCGCTTGGTTCCGTGCGGCCACCTTGTTTCCCGCGGTGGCTGCTTCGGTTCCTGGTTTGGGTTGATTTCCGTGAGCATGGGGAAGGATTTCTATGCTTATGGTGCTTAGTTTCTTGTGTTAGAATTAATGTAATGTGTCTCTTGGTATTCCTCTTTCATACCTATAAATATGGGAGGGTTTGTAATGTTTGAAGTTATGAAGTTGAATGAAATGTGATTTTTGGAAAAGTTATAACCTGCGGGTTTGCTTTGGAAATCCTGCGGGCTCTTTCCACCCTTCTTTCTCATCCCCTCCGGAAATCCTGCGGGCTCTTTCCAACCTTTCTTCTCGGGCTTCTAACCTCTTTCGTCTCTCCGCAAGTGCCACTCCACCTGTATCCCTCTTCTCTAAGTGCAGCAACTTTAGGGTGTCGTCATTTTGTTTGCAAGAGTCGTTTGTATTGGTGTAAGTTTTCTTTTGTTTAGTTTAAATTGAAATGTAAGAGTTTGTTCTTTCCTACTTCTCGTCCTTAGTCATTTTCGTCAGTAGAAGTCCGCCGTGTCTTTTGTGATCAAGAGATATAGGGTCCCCTTTATTTTTTGATCGCATTAGATCCATAGCCCTGTTCGACCTCATGCACATGCCACAATCCTTCCTGTACGAGTCGAACTTCAAGCCATAGGAATCAACTATGCTCTGACTCACTTCGTCCAAGGATCCCGCTCAGCTCTTGTGAATCACTACCCGTACGATCCCTCATCCAACGCAAGCCACCCATTTCTTCCTAGTTCGCAAGCTGCAGCCCTCACAAACCGTGAAATACTCCAGTGCCGCAGATCCGCATCCCGCTCCTATTAAATATACTTGCATGACACCTTGCTATCCCTCTACTCTCCCTCGTTCTTAAATCCTCATAGCCAATCTTCCTTTTCATGATCTATCCTACCTAAACTTCACAAACCTAGCTGAAGCCAACTCTCCACTCCACATTTCAGCCCTCCTTCCTCAAACTGCAAGCATCTTCCTTTATTCCATACAAAGGGAATCAGCTCTCGTCCACCACATCTTGCCCCCACGTGAAGTCCTTTTTATTCCACTCACACTAACGTCCAACAGCAGCTTCTCACTTCATTATTATCCCTCAAGTTTCTTTCCGGCTGCCTTCAATAACCTCAACAAACCTACTTTAACATTCACCTTTTCTCCACAACTCCTCACACGCTCAAACCGCACACAGAGCAATAACCATCTCCCTCTTCCCTTCTGAATATAAAACCATTCATTTAGCTCCATACCTAACAGCTCACTCCACCTCAAAATTAACCCAACTGCTCAACCTATTTCAGCCTCTACATTCTCCTACAAAAAAACGAAAGAGGCCAAAAGGGTAAAAGTTCTTTTTTAACACTGATTGTTGTATCGCTAAAAGAAAATTTCAAAAAAAACAAAAACAAAAAAGGAGAGGGGGAGAGTTTCAAAAAAAAAGAGGAAAGAAGAATTCTTTTTGTGCATTTACACCACCCATCGTCAGTCCTCGCGCAGGTATAATCCCTCAAACTCAAAACCCTCCAAAGTCCCATTCTCAGCGTTTGCGTCGAACCGGAAAATCACCTGTACATGTTTTTCTTAGCGGGGGGAGGGAATCCGGTGCGACACTTATGGCGAGGTGGGTAAGCCCTATACACACTTTTCACCGCCCTTCTAAGTACCAATAGATGACACAGTGCGTACGGGGAAAGAATTGTGCATTTGAAACAGATACCCCCAAAGACTCATACACTCCTTTCTTAGCGTGGTGGGATTGAAGACTATGGTTGCAGTGTCATCTGACACCTACTATATACGTCTTTCTTAGAATGGTGGGAAAGCCCAGACTTATGGAATTTCCCCTAAACATGGGAGACGTCGGGAGGCTGTCAAATTTTTCATTAACAGGGGACTTGGACTTAAGCCAAATAGCATGGGACCTAAACGAACAACGGGGGACTAGACTTGAGCTAGACCAAATGCAGGGGACTTGAACATAAATGAATTACTTGGACTTGAGCTAGACCAAATGCAGGGGACTTGAACATAAATGAATTACTTGGAACCGAACTCTTAATTATAGGGAACATGACCTAATAACTAAAATAAAACATGTAATCTTGCAAAATGACAAAATTAACTGTGCAAGTGCAACAATATGCTTGCAATCCATAACATAGAACCTCAATGAAATATTAAGAAGTCATTACATTGATTGGAATGCAAACAGTAATAAGTGAGTTCACTATACAAGCCATAAGTCATCTTCAAAGGATGGTGAATGACTTGTAATATGCAACATGACACATCTACAACTAATAACCAACAAGGATTGTAGAGAATATTATGATCTGCTTGCAAGCAACAATGAGAGGCAAGATGATGGCAGCGAATAAAAGCTAGTGCACAGTCAATGCTACTTGGCTGGGGAATAAATGAACTGAACCTCCGCAAGCCATATAGATCAATATATAACGAACATGTAATTTGATTACATAAGATGTCCATGAGTAGAACATGAAGAGCACATAATGAATCTCTTAACATCCACATCATCGACAATAACTTTAACTTCCAGCAAGTATAGCAATTCCCTATTAATA